TATTGCTGTTCCCACCCCTCTTCTAGTAGCCCCGCCCTTGCCCGCCAGCCAGTCCACCCTGCCCAAGCCCCGCCCCTCACTGTTGTCCTTGACTGCAGAGCCCTCTGCAGACCTCCTGGTGAACCTGAGCCGCTGCCGGCGCCTCATCGTGGTGCTTTCGGACGCCTTCCTGGGCCGGCCCTGGTGCAGCCACAGCTTCCGGTGAATCCCGAGGAGTCCGGGTGGGGTCCGGCCCCTCCCACCGCGCCTGACGGTCCTGTCCTCGCAGGGAGGGCTTGTGCCGGCTGCTGGAGCTGACACGCAGACCCATCTTCATCACCTTCGAGGGCCCGCGGCGCGACCTGGCGCACCCTGCGCTGCACCTGCTGCGCCAGCACCGCCACTTGGTCACTCTACTGCTCTGGAGGCCAGGCTCTGCGGTGCACTTGGGAGCCGGGGTGGGGGCAAGGAACAGGGTGGGGTTCACAATCGGGAACCCAGGAGCTTGACGGCCCCACTCGCCCCCAGATGCCATGCTCCGATTTTTGGAAAGAGCTACAGCTTGCACTGCCGCGGAAGGTGCAGTACAGGCCAGTTGAGGGGGACCCCCAGACCCACCTTCAAGATGACAACGACCCCATGTTGATCGTGCGAGGCCATGCCACTGAGGGCCGGGCTGTGGAGCAGGAGCTGGATCCTGATCCTGAGGGAGACCTGGGTATGCCTGCCCAGCTGACCAAGATAGCCCAGGGTAGGGGCTGTGCAGGTGTGGGGGAGTCTGAGGGCCCCTGCGACTGTGGAAGTTTTGATCACCACCCCAGCAGCCCCTAGCTGCTTCACATCTGCCAAGGTGCTGCGAGGGGCAGGGGGTGGGCAAGGCCTTCCTGGGAATTTCCTGGACCTCCAGTGCCACCATGGCTGGGGGTGAGCAGGCTGTGTTCCTGGTGACACCCATGCCATGGCCTTGGCACAAGGGAGGTGTGGGCAGCCCAGCCTCAGGCTTGTGTACCCTTCAGGTGTACGAGGGCCTGTCTTTGGGGAGCCACCAGCCCCACCGCATGCAAGTGGGGTTTCGATGGGAGAGGGCCATAGCAGCGAGATGGACATCTCCGACCTTGGCTCCCGAAACTACAGTGCCCGCACAGATTTCTACTGCTTGGTGTCTGAGGAAGATGTGTAGCCCATGCCCCAGTCTGGGACCCAGAAGCAGGCAGGTTCCCACCATGCAGGACACAAGCTCTGCCTCTAGCCCAGGGCCCCTCAGAGAAGGAGTGTGGCCCCAAGGTTCCAGAAAATAAAGTCCTTTGGCTTCTACCTGGGTCTCAACTTCCTCTTCTGGGTAGGATGTTCCCCTCTCCTGCATCCATCGCAGGCTTTCCAAGGCCAGCTGCCCTCCCTCTTTTTATCCTCCCCAACACCTGTTTCCCAGTCTGGCCACCCATCTGTGCCTGCTCTGTGTCCTGAGCCAGCTCAGGCACATCCCTTGCAATCTCCCCAAGTCACCCTAGCTACCCCTAGCTCCTTATGATCTGGACAGATCCTGCAGGGGGCAGTTTTCTTGGATACCTCAAGTCTGAGCTTGTGGGGGTGTCCCCAAACTTCCTAGACACAAAGCCTTGGGCACCTCCAAGCTTGGGGCAAGGCTGAGCTGGAGGCTGGGGTGTGTTTGCTGTATGAGTACTGCTCATTAGTGGCCCTGGCTCTGGTCACTCTCCTTGCACAGTCATGGCTCTGCTGTGACTGCCTCAGGGAGCCCCAAGGAGTCTATTGTCACCCTGTTCCCTCTCTCTCTGCTGGTCCCTCCCTGCCTGTCCCTTGTCCACTGGGCTTGGGGAGGCCTGTGTGTGAGCCCTGGGGGTGAGTGTTTTAAGGGCCAGATGGGCATACCGGGGACACTGCAGGTCCTGGGTTTGGCAGCCTAGCTATGGACACACACAGGGCCAGGGCTGTGTTCAGTCACCTTTATTCCCACACCACTGTCTGGAGGCATTACCAGGACATGGCCAGCCCCATCTCTACTGCTTGACTGGGCCACCACCCCATGCACTAGAGTAGCCTAAGCCCTGCCCACCCCCTGCCCTAAAGAAGCCAAATGCCCAGCTGTAAGCCCCGTCCCCTCCCGATGATGAGGCTCCTCAAAGATGCACATAGGTGCTAGGCAGAGTGCCCTTGGCCATCAGCTTTCTGCTCCTCCAAGCTGGCTGGTGAGCAGCCAGAGCTGAGCCTGTCCCTCGGAGGATGGACCACACCACCTTCTCCTCCAGGGTGCCTTGCCTATGGGCCCAGGAAATCTTCTTTCCGATAACCTTTCTGCATGGAGAGGGGCTGCAGTCAGGGTTCAGGTCTGTGCCTGAACAGGAGCACCTGGTCCTACCACATTGTGCTGAGTATAGCCCAGGCCCCAGGTCTCCTGCACCTCATGGGCATCCCTGTCCCGCCCCAATGTGCCATCTCCCACACTCAGCTGTGACTTCATCTCTGCCTGCCAGGCTGTGCAGCACATACCGCGCGGAAGTCTCGGTGCAGCTTGCTGTACTGCCATAGGTTGGCCAGGAGGCTGGAAGCCGCACGGGAGGACTTCTCACTGTCTGGGCTGGGGTGGTCAGAGGGTCAGGGTCAAGGGAGGAGGCAGGGTGACCAGGCACACCCCACCAGGCCCCGAGGTCCAAACGGCCCTCACCTGTCTCTCTTCTTCTTGATAAAGATGAGTTTCCGGAGCCCATCAAAGTAGAGCAGGTCACGGGCTGCAATAGGACTGGCCACCACCAAGTTGTTGAGCACAGCGATGATGTTGACCAGCACCTCAGCTGGTGGACACTTCTCACCCACACTGCCAGGCAGCTTCTCGATGAGGTGGCTTACCACCTTGGTGGCTGTGAGAGGTCAGGAGGTCAGCTTCCATCTATGCCTGCTCCCAGGGAGCTGGGGTTCCTGTCTCTCTTCCCAGTGCCCACCAGAGGCCAGCCCATCTAGGGGGAGAGAGGCAGAGCCAGGCAGGGGATGGCATACTCACACATCTCATCCTTGTTCCTGGCGTTCCGGGAGAGATTTCGGATGAGTCCTGTCAGTGAGCGCAGCTGGTGGTGGTCAGCAGTCCGAACACGGTCCAGCAGGGGGTTCAGAATTCGCTCCTGCTCCAGGGCCAGGCGGCTCAGCACACCTGCCCACTGCAGGGGAGTGTCTTGAGGACAGGGGTCCCCTGCCAGCCCTGACCACTGATCACCCCAGCTGACCCAATCGCTGACCCAGGCCTGAGGCAGAACTGCTTCTCCAGCTCTGCTGCCAGCCTCCACTGTTCTGCCCTTTCCCCAGCCAGGACCTGGCTGGGTGGCTCTTCTGTCCTGCTTGTTCAGACCCAGATGTCACAGGGCCTGTTCCTGGGGCAGGCACAGGCCTCCTTCCCTGTCCCCCCAGCAACCCGTGCCACTGACCCTGCGGTCTCCCGCTGTTATGTTCTGCAAGGCCCCCGCTGCCGCCTCAGTTGTGTGCCGGTTCAGCTCACAGCGCTGTAGCAGCCGGTTGTAGAGGCCCACAATCTGTGGGCTCCACAGCCACTCAAGACCTTTGGGGTCCTTTGACACCTCGGCAAAAGTGAGTGCATCGGCTGTGAGAGGCAGCTGCATGGGAGGGGTGGAGGGTTAGTGGGGTCCGGGACAGTCGGGGGACTGGGGGGTTGTGGGGGCCTTGGGTAGGGCATAGAGAGCTTGGCTGGCACTCCCTGCTCTGTCTGCCCACCTCACGCAGCCGCCGGCTCTGTGGCGTGAAGCAGCCCACCACCTCTCCAGGGGGTGCTCCACTCAGGTCCCTGCGGCCCCGACCCTCAAGCCGCTGCAGGGCAGACGGTGGCATCTCATCGTACAGGCGGTAGGACAGGTTCCTCAGCACGCACACGGCGTTCTCCACGCTCTGCAGAGGGCCAGGGTGGAGGTCAGCACAAGCTTCCGTCCATACATCCCCAAGGCACTGGTTGCCCCTTACCTTGTCCTCGCACTTGCCCACGTCCAGGGCATGGTTGATGTAGGTGACCAGGGCATCCACAAGTCCGTGGCACTCACGCATCTTCTGGCGAGTGGCCTGGGAGGCTGAGCTGAGGTTCCTGAGGAGGGAAGCAGATCAGAGTGCCCCAGAGACCCTGGGAGAGTCACCCCAGACCCTAAGCCACTGTCCCTTCTATTCCTAGTCCCTACTGGAGAGTGCTAGCCCTATTCCTCTTTACACTGTCCTCACTCTACCACTCCTCATTTTGGGAAGATGATGAATGTTGGATCGGAAGACCTGACTCCCCAAACCTGCAGCCGGGGTGATGCCCACACCTGGTGGCCACCCCAGCCTGTCCACTTTTCCTAGGCCCCAGGCCAGCTCCTCCTTTCTGTCAGACCTCAGATGAAAGTGCCTCTTCTTGGTGTCCTTGCCCCTACCTATCCTGGTCTGCTGCCCCTGCCCCATTCACCTGAGGAAACCGGTGGCATTATAGAAGATCTCAGCCTCGGAGGCGTTCTGCTGGATGAGGGGGGGACCCCCTGCCCCTGACAGGGGGCTCAGCACCAGGTCTGTGAGCTGCTCCAGTGTGTCACGGGCCAGGCGGTCCTTTAGGTGGTCACTGGATGACAGATTCCACAGGATCCCTGGAGGCAGGCCGGGGCTGTGGTCAGGGTCCACCCACTGAGCCCTCTGGCTCTTCTGGGATGGTGCAGGTGAGGCTCCCTACTCTTTCCTACCCCCCCCCTGAAACTCTCCATGTGACTGGGTTTGGGGGCTGAGACTGAGCAAGAGAGGATAGGCTTGGGGGCAGGGGCTGGGGTGTGGCTCTGTGGTACAGTGCTCGCCTGGCATAGTGATTCCCAGGGTCCGATCTCCAGAGAGAGGTGGAGAGAGGGAGGGAGAGACAGGGAGAGGGAACAAGAGTCACAAAGAACAGGGTTTTGGAGACCAAGGGACAGGAGAGACACAGGTAGTGGAGAAAGGTGAAGGGAAGGAGGGGAACTCACAGGGGTCAGGAGGAGATATAGGGAGGGCAGGTGACAAGGATACCTGTGACATTCTTGCGCAGCTCATCGTCCTGCTCCCGAAGTGTCCGCAAAAGCTCGAAGATGCCATTCTCCTCCACCAGGGCCAGCTTGTTGTCAGCGTTGTCATAGATGAGGTTGCGCATAGCACCTGTGGCATGGCGCTGCACCTCCTGGTTGGCGTGGTTGAAGAGCTTCACCAGCCTTGGCACGGCCTGAAGGCTTCGAGCCTGCATGCAGCACAGGAGTGTGGACTGTGTGGGTGCCTGCAGATACGTCTGTGTGTGTAGGAGCAGGCGTAGACATGTGTAGGTGTGGGCGATGATGCGGGTGTATGTGGGCATGTGTGTAGGTGACACAGGAGTGTGCCAATCGTGTGGCAGCTCTATGAACCGGCACACAGTGCATGCAGGTGAATGTGAATGGCACATTTGTGCCTCTCCTTTGCAGAGAGGCCGTGGGCAGGGTGGGCCTGTCCAGGGTGGGTCTGCCCAGTCAGCTTGAGAGGCGGTCAGGGACCAGAGGTCATGGGACACAGGGGCCATTGAGGGTGGTCATCAAGGGCATGTACGGCCACTGGGCAGCCACCGAGGGGCAGGGGTGGGCAGTGGGGGCAGCCACCTGCTTCTTGGCGCCTGCGTCACTGTAGCACCGGTGCTGGATGTAGGCTGCACCCAGCACCTGCAGGTTGGGGTCTGAGGCCATGAGGTACTTGACTGCCGAGGGCAGGTCGATGTCATTGAAGCTGCAGAGGCAGGGGCGGAATCAGGCTGACCCTAGGCTTGAGCCAAGCACTATGGCAAAATCCACTCCTCCCTGGGCCCACCCACCTTACCCACTGCTGAGTCTTTGCAGAGAGCGGTGGTTGACGTAGCTGTCCAGCCCACGCACGTCGGGCAAGTGACCTGAGTCAGCCAGGCTGAGGCTGCGCACAGATGGGGCCCTGGCCACGGCTTCCAGGCCCACACCTGGCACTGCCCCAGTCCCCCCACGGCTTCGGTGGCTGCTCTGGAATCGCTGCAGGGTTCGCATGGCAGGGGCACGGATGGTGCGGCTTGGGGGGCCCTCAGCAGCCTCTTGCCAGTCCAGCCCTCCAGCCCGACTTGAGCTGGAGCTGGCTTGACGTTCATAGGCAAAGGCCCTGTAGCTAGAGGCACCTGCCGGCTCCAGCTGCTCGGACACTATGCTGTAGCCATCGTCCAGGCCCCCAGCGCCCAGCCTCAGTGAGCGCAAGGACAGTGTGTCATACTCAGCCCGGCTGCCAGCCCCGCTGCGCTCGT